GATTAAAAATAGATGAAACGAATGTTATGATTCATCTAATATGCATGTTTAAATCAGTTTTTAGTTCCATTGAATTAATCTGTTTTAGTGTTGCTTAAAAGTTTTAACTGAAATCTTGTTGCGGATTGTTTTAAATCTTGTGTCAAATTCTTGTTGTGAATATATGTTTATGCTTGAGGATTAGTCTGAGACATTAAACGAACCCTTGAATAAGTAATTAACACAGTATTTAATTTCACCAAATTAATCTGTTGTGGGTTGCTTAAAGTTTTAGACTAAGGTTCTGTGATCGTTGCTTCTAAACCTATGTTCCATGCATGTTATCATTGAATATCAGTGGTTTAATATGTACCTAGGACTAAGATTGAACCTAGAATAAAAATTAAAACATGTTACAAAGGCTCTGGTAATCACCGGAATTAGAGAAGACGAAGCTGGAACGGACAACGGCTGCTAAGGGAGGGAGAGTAGGCTCCCAAAACCCTTAGAGCCGGCTCCTAAAGAGTTGGAGCTGGCTCTAAGTGATTTAGAGCAGGCTCTAAATGTTTTAGAACAAGCTCCAAATGGTTTTGAGCAGGCTCAAAGTTTTTAAAGAGCCTGCTCCATCTTAAAACGCACAAAATTGAGTTTTAAGGACTTTTTGGCTGAAATTGGATTTTCTAAAATTATTTAAAGGCTACTGGATGTTGTAATTTAATGTTTAAGACTTATAAAAATGTTGGGAAGCATGATTACAAGTAGGAATTGGGAACGGAATTAATCTAAGATTAAACAGTGAACCCGTGGGTGGATGATTTGAAAATTAATTTCTATTGTCTACTATTTTTTGAATTTTATTTCTCTGCAAAATCTTAAATTGCGAGACATGTTTTTAGCTGTGATATAGGCATATAGTAGTTAAATATGCGTATGCTTAGTTGGAATTAACTACTGATGTTTAAAATCTGTCATACAATGCATCAGTTATGGTACTATATGGAGAAGTAAATTGTATAATTTTAATTTATCAATTTAAAGGACTGGAATTTAGATTCTAAATTTTTTATTGAATGCATAATTTAGTTACACACATGTTAAACTGTATTTATGCAAATTTTGGAGTATGGTTGATTAGTATCAAATATTGTTTTCGTCAACTATGTTAACTGGAGGAGCTAAATGTACAGTCTTTTCATTTATATAAAGAATTGTAATGAGATGTCTAAATGTTATATTGGATGCATAAATTGGTTGTATACATGCTAAACTATATTGATGCTTATTCTGGGATGTGGTTAATAAATAATTATACTGTATTATTAACTACGTAAATTGGAGGATGGTATGCACCGGTATGGGATGGTGTTATACTAGGTATGGATTAGTTCAGACATTAAGCCCTACCTAAGTTTGGATTAAGGTATGGATTAATCATAAAGGTTAAGTCCATCACCTACTTGTGTCATATCAATTGAGAATTGAACGACCTACTATGGTTTCAGGATAGATTTGTTATACATATATCAGACCACTACACAGATGGATGGTATTTTGTATTAGGAGGAGTACAGACTTTATATATATATTATATGGTGTCGTGGTATGAGCTTGAGTCTCATGACCATGGTTAGGGCGCGTATATTGCCTAGGATGGATAACTGGACATATGTGTTGTTCCTTGGTAGGTTTAGGTACTCATGCCCACCTTAGGGTGCGTATTTGCATGTTGCCTTCTATTCCGACTAAGACAGACCTACTGGACTAGCGAGCGTCCTATAGTGTGTACTATATACATATATGGACTACTCTAGCTATTGTTGAGTCTTCTTAGGATGTATTTGCTTATCAGATTACTATTGGATTGTAGTAGATCAGGACTTGCATGTGGGCCTGGCCCACTCCTTTATTTTTCAGGTGTTCGTTAGTTCCAGGGTTAGAGCTTGGACGTGCAGAGCAGATACAGATATTAATTCCTCCGATTGTGTAGGAATCTTCTCTATGATAGTTTTGATTCAGTTTTGGTTTGAGAATTTTAATAAGGGGTCCAATGGATGGATTCCCGAGTTATAAACTTATGGAGTTTTGGATTATCGGATTTGATTAATTATGATTCAAGGATTTCCTTTTAGTTTATTTCAGCTCTTAAATTTTAATTCTTATTTCATTTAGTAATTTGTGTTCGTTATAACATATTAATTATTCGATATCCCTCGGGTTTGGGTCTGGACCTGATCAACCCGTGTCTCGGATCTGAAGGGTTTCACAACAAATAATACATTTCAACATTTCTTTCATCCATTCATTATGTCTCAACATAGTTCAGTTTATGGTGGAATAACTACGAGCTATTTAATCCAAATATCATAATTACAGTCCCAAAAATATAATTGAGATCAAAAGTCCATGTCTTACAACGTTTAGACAACTTATAATAAAATTACAGCCCATAAATATAACTACACTTGCAAGAGTCCATAAGTCTCAGTACAGAATACAATATGCTAAGTTTTACGAAAATAGTGGGACTTAGATACGAAAATAGCAAAATGATCATCTAATCCATGTTAGGCCTGTAGTGGAATGTCATCCGCCACTTCATTCCCATTTTCTGAAAAATGTTAAAATGAAGGGGTGAACATAAGCTCAATAGGAAGTGCCTAAGGTACACCTCTTGAGACCCTGTGAATCCACATAATGAATAGGAATAAGGAAATTGAGATCATACCATGCCGGAAAAAAATATAACCCCAATACCACATCATTAATCCGATACACAAATGAATATGCCATGCCATGCAATGTTACTCCCCATTTTTTAAAACCATTTCCATCATCATTTTCAAATCGTTAGTGAACCCATCCCATTGCAATTCCATGGCGGCACGAGAGGAAGATTGACCACTGTCCCTAACCTATGGCAACTCCATGGCGTCATTTTGGGCCCAGGTAACTAAACCACACTAGGGCGATCTCCCTAATCCCCTCTAGGCCTCACTAACGCCGCGGTTCCTAAGTAACTCCTAGGCGGCCAGGTTTTTCACAAAATCCTTTTTTAAAATTCTTTGCCAAAAATACACACACACACACACACACACACACACATATATATATATATATATATATTTTTTTTTTTTTTTCCTTTCAAAACAACATTCCCCATTTCTTCCCAATGAAGTGCATGTATGTTTCATATTTTCATGCCATGCCAATATTTATCAACACATGTAATTTCAAATTCATGCCATTTTACATGCTTTACAAGAATTTCAAAAGAAATTATCACATTACTTACATTCAATAATAAGCTAGCAGAATTAAGTATGTAAGACATGAATTCTATATCATTCAAGCATGCTATTACACATAATGTCAATTAAAACACAGTCATGTATTTCATTTAGAACAATTTAGTCATTTACAAAAAAATCAACATAAAATAGCATGCTAAGTAGCAAAATCAATAAGGAAATTCACTAAGGTGCAATAAATTATACATCAAAAACCCCAACCTCAAAGGAGGAGAAAACCCCCAAATTTATGTCCTAGATTTCAAATTTCCTATAGTGCACCAACCAAGGAATTGCTTCTATCAACTTGTAGACCTCGTCGTGAGTTTCAATTTGCTGCAAACAGTATTCAAATATACCACGTATTGAAGGAGGAATCAAGGATTGAAGCCTTGAAGTGAAAAAAAGAAAAAAAAAAAAAAAAAAAAAAAGAAAGTTGAGAGGAAGAGAGAAACAGACCAGCGGGGGAGAGAAAAATTGAGGAAACAGAGACCAAAATGTGATCTTATAACCACTTAAAAAAAAATTTAGTGGGTCCCACAGCTAAAATTAAAAAAAAAAAACCTGTTAACTCATGAAAAATTACTCAACTTTGAATCTATCTTTTTTTGATTATGTTTCTCGAGAACAACTCATGAAAAATTGTCTTTCCTACATTTTTCTGTTATTTTTAATTTTCTTAAGATGGAAAACTATCCTTAAAAAAACTGAACTAACCATTTCTATTTCTCCTTCTTCAAAATCTACCTCGACTATTTTTTATGCATGCTATATATGAAAGTTATTCTTTTATTTTTTTCACTAAATTCTACGGTGTAATGATTGGTGGTCGGAGCTAATGGGAGCAAAGAAGGAAAAAAAAAATAGATCTGTCGGGTTTAACTCTAAAAAATGGGTATAGCCTATGCTTTGTATCTTTTTAAGTTTAAAAGAAGTGTCATGCAATCTTTTATTCGGACACTTTAGTATGTTAGGCACAATTTGTCCGGATAAGGCTGGACTGAAGTATTGTCCATACTTAAATATAACAAAATAAAAAAGTGTTATGTTCACATGAAATGAATTTTTTTTTTTTTACATTGTTTTACCATTAATTATTATATTCCGAAATTATTCTGAAAAATCGCTTTCACATTAACTTGGTCCTTCACCAATAGATCCAGTCCCTCTCGTTCCAGCAACTGAGCTGATAGACATGCCAAAAAAATAGAGAGATTTCAAATTAAATTAATCCTAGATAGGATTATACATATATATATATATATATAGTTTACGTCCGACGTTGAGAATCACTCCCCAAAGGCCGTCCACTTCCACATCTCTTTGTTATTATCTCAACTCACACAAAAAGGGCAACGGCCATTTTGGCGGGTAGGTATAGCGTGTGCCGGGTACCACCTCAATAATATGCCCCCTCAATAAAAACTTAACAAATTAGTTTGGGAAGAGCTGTTTTTTCGAATGGTAAGACTAATTTCATTTGTATAATAATTTTTCACTCTCCATTTTACGCACTTGGCGTTCATTAGTGGATTGTTTATCAAAAAGAGTATTAGCTCCCTCAACTCTCACTCTCTCTCTTCTACAAATCCATATTTCTATATATATATATACATACATACCTACAGAAAGAAATGTAGAGAGAGAAAACGGGTTATGGAGAGAGAAAGAAGGAGAAGTTTCTCGTGTGTTTGAGAATCGCAACACGTAATACTATATCATGCAGTAGGAGAGATGAAAACCTCCCAAACAAAACTACTCGTAACCAAATGCCTTCTCTTCTCTCTCCTCCTCTCTGCAACTTTCTTCTTGCTTTTCTCTCTCCAAACAACAGCCGGCCCACCACCCTCCGCCGGAGCTGATCTCCGAATCCGGCCCGGCTACTCCTCCTACGAAGCCTACATACAGAAACAGCTCAACAAAACTTTAAACCCGAAGCTCCGCAAGGTATGGACCACCCGAGACTGGGACCGGAAGATCCAAGTCTTCGCTAACTTCTTCGACGGATTGAAACAGAAACAGCTATTGTTCAACGATTCGAAGGCGCTCTGTATCGGGGCCCGAGTCGGGCAGGAGGTGGAAGCGCTGAGACGGGTCGGAGTGTCGGACTCGGTGGGTATTGATCTTGTGCCGTACCCACCGCTTGTTCTGAAGGGGGACTTCCATCACCAGCCGTTCGATAACGAGACTTTTGATTTCGAGTTCTCGAACGTGTTCGACCATGCGCTGTATCCGAACCATTTCGTCGGGGAGATCGAACGGACGTTGAAGCCCAGCGGGGTGTGTGTATTACACGTGGCGTTGTCTAGACGGGGTGATAAGTATTCGGCTAATGATTTGTATAGTGTTACGCCGTTGAAGGCGTTGTTTAGCCGGTCGGAGTTGGTTCATGTCCGGACTGTGGATGGATTCGGTTTGGACACCGAAGTAGTTTTCCGGAAACGAATTTGATCCAACGGTCTTGATTGTTCTTCTTTGAAAATTCCTTCTGTTTGTAATTGTTGTGATGGTTAGGTGTAAATACTTACATACTTGTGTTGGGTAGAAAATTTATATCCACCGCGTATACAGTGTAATGTTAAATTGACCCATGTCTTTACATTTAAAATAATAAAAAATAAATAATTTGATAATTGGCACATTGTTAAACTGACTTAGTCCCTACATTTAAAATAATAAAAAATAAATAATTTGATAGTTGGCGCAATGTTAAGCTAACATGTGTCTTTACATTTAAACTAATAAAAAATAAATAATTGGATATCTATCCAAGATAAATCCGAATCAAATTCTAATTCTCTCTCCTCTCCTATAGCCTATTTTACATATACAAAACTAAATAAAAAGCATACTTTTGCTAAATAGATGTACAAAACTAAATAAAAAGTAATTTTACAATACTAAACTGAGTTAGAATTGATTCGAATTCATTTGGGTTTACCTAAATAACTTAAATTTTTTTTTTTTTATATTATTTTAAATGTAAGGACACTTGTCAATTTTGATGAGTATAAATTTTCTATTCACCGATAAATAGACAAATATTATCCGCTGCAATTTTTACTGCTCATACGTAAATAAAAAGTCAATTACATATTTTAGTAGGTGGGTTGCAGAATGATACAACTCTCATCTTGTTTGTTCCTGTTTGGTGTATTTGCTTCAAGGTGGCATTTCCAAGTTTCCAATGATACGGTTCTTATCTAATATATATATATATATATATATATATATATATATATATTAAATCATCTTTTGTCCTTGCAAATACAAAGACAAATGTATATAAATGTATAAATGGTCATGGATCATGTAATTCAATCTAATAAAAAAATTTAAATTGAGATAAAAAAGAAACTCCCAAAAAAAAATCTTTTAGTTTAAAATTTGATTAAACTGACCATGAGGAGCATTTAATAAATTTTAATATTAGTATAGTGTATATATATTAGGATCAATCCGTGAATCATGACACAGTCAGCTGCAATCGGCAAGTTGTTGGAAGATTGGGCCGTTGGAATAACGAGCTAGCGTCAGCATCGCCTTCCATCAGTGTGAAGCACCTAACAAATATTCCAAGATCAAATATTAAATATTATACCATAACTTATTAAATCATCATACTGCAATAAAATTGTTAACTAGTAGTTCAGGTAATTTAATTTTATAATTGGCACGACTTATTATAACAAATTGTAACACCACGTGATTTCGACCTTAATTTTTTAAAAAAATTTGGATGCACAAGGCCTACTATATTTTTGGTATGACCACCCCAATAATGTATAATTTTTTTTTTTCTTTTTTTCCTATCCAATCTTTGTTGAGTAAGAACAAGTCTATCATGAAAACAATCTTCCTCTATTTATGGAACAGTTTGGTATGATATGCTAAAGTTTTTCAATGCAACAACTATTAAGAGATTTAATTTATATCAAAGGTGGTGATGCCATCAATTTAGTAAAGAGATTGACATACATGAAGAATAAAAGGAATATAGGATACCCAAACAGACAAGTAAAAGACATTAGCTTTCTTTTGGAGACCAAAAGCAGATCTTATGATACACAATTAAATTATGATTAATCCCACTATATATGTATGTTCCATCAAGATTGCAAAATAAGCAACCGTTCTATCCTTGGGTCAAAAAGTCACCATGTAATTAGATTGACTTTTAAAATGCATAGAAATAAATTCAATAATTTAATATTAGTATGCAACCATATAGGGTGGAGTTGGGAGTTGTATGTTTTGGGGGGAGGGGGGACTAAAAAATTTAACTATTGATTATATTCATACAAAATTTTATCTATCCAAAATTTTACCATTTTTTTTTTAAAAAAAAAAAAAAAAAATTAGTAATTTAAAGAAGTTTTTTATAAAACTTCTCGCAAATTAAGCAAAAATTAGAACTCTCAATTAAATAAACAATTTTGAAGGCCTTATATGCTATGGCTCAAGCAAATTTTCAGAAAATAACCTTTCAAAATAAAATTTTCAAAAAATATTAGGATCTCAAAAATCTATTGGCAAGGGAAAAAAAAAAAAAAAAAAAAAGAATTTGAAGAAATCAAACATGATTTTAGCTATAAATAAGTCTTAAAAAAAAAGTAAAATGACTTAGAATTGATGAAAATGAAGAACCCACAAAAATTGAAGTAAGATATATTTTTAAGATATCTCAACAGATTTACATCTGAAATTCAAATAAAAAAAACAAACAATATAATTAAGGGTTAATTTCACTGACACCCTCTTAGATTTGACCAAATATCATATTGAAATATCTTTCGAAAATTATTATCACTCCTTTTACAAAAATTTGTTTCGTTTTTCACTCACACTCCAAAAGTTACTTTTTCGGTTGTGTCAAATCACTTTTTGCATGTAAAAAGACATTGTTAACCTTTTGATTTTGGGTTAATTTATTAAAAAATTATTTAATGTATAAAATGACCAAAATATCCATTGCCACCTGTCATACTTATACAGACACTCATCAACACGATCACCGCCAATAGGTTAGGCTAATTTTCTTACAAATAAAAAAAAAATTACTTTTAAACCAACTCATAGAAGGAAAGGGATGATACCAAATAAAGGAACAACTAAACTTCACGATCAGATTAAACTCGCTCTCACCAATTCAAGCGTCATTATATTTGCAAAATTACAGAGCTCCAAAGTTGGTTCAGGAGCAACTCATTAACGGCAACGAGGGTGGGCAATAAAACATGACTCGACTTTACTAATAAACCCATTTTAGTATGTACCTATAGATAAAAATTGTATAGGATGTAATGCCAAGGGAATCTGTTCAATGAGTGCATTAAAAAGATGAAACATATAGATAAAGAATTGAAAAAGTTCTCTAAAAAAAACTTCACCCAAAAAAAAAAAAAAAAAAAAAAAAAAAAAAACTACTGTAATCTAATCAAATTTAAGAGGAACTTTAATTTGCCATCATTGATAAATGCAGTTTCTTAGGCAGAGGACTATTCCGGCAAGTTCAAGTCGAAATCCTGGTGGCTATGAGTGGAGTCCTCGCTCTCAAACGACGACATGGCGCTGCCGGATCCGGCGTTCCCGCTGCAACAAAGTGATAGAATCGAACAAAAAAACCAAGTTTGGATGCGAACAGAAAAACCAAAGCAGAGGTGTGATTCGAATAGAAAACGAAGAAAAACCGCGATATAATTTTGTCTATTGTTCTGATGTTGCGACACCAAGCGATGAATAGAGAGGTCAATCGATACCAACAGAGAAACAAAATGATGTTGCGAAGACAAATTGGTTTTGCGATCCAATCCAGACCCGAGCTCCGAATTGAGCTTCTCATACCCACCTTCCCAACCATGCCCAGATCCATATTCCGCTCTGGGTTCGTCCAACTCACTTTTTCGTCCACACCAAGAGCCATATTCTGAGGTGGGTACATTCGACTCCGGCCTCCGACGTATCGATCTTTTCGAGAACGCAAAAAAATCAATCGATTTCTTGAATGTATATGTATATGTGTGTGTATGTATATATATATATATATTTGTCCCGCTAGCAACCATCCCCAGTTTCTTCCCAGCTTCGGCAACTGTTTCGTCATCGATTACCTGAACATCACTTTGTTCCGATCGTAAAATTGAGCGGCTCTCCCATCCAGTGAGTGACAGACTATGAGAGAGGAGTGGATAGGTGAGATAATTAATAAGGGCAAAATAGTCTTTTAAATTATTGATATTTTAGAATAAAAAATATTAAAAGAACTAGGGGGGAAATTGTCTTTTCATACTTTTCTATTAGTGTTAGTGACGGAAAAATAAAATTCAACCTAAGTGATAATAATTTTCAAAAAGTGTTTCAATATAATATTTGATCAAATCTCAAGGATATTAGTAAAATTAACCTATGATTAAAATTGCAAAAGGAAGATCCAAGAGCTTAAATTTTCTCTCTTTAAACTCTCTTTATCCACTCACCTTAATTAGTGTAAAAATCAAAGCAAAATGAGGGAAGAAAAGGAAGTGGGAAACTTATAGATATATATATATATATATTTTTTTTTTGAACATTCCGAAAAACAGAAGAAGTGGGAACCATGCTTTAGAAAAAATCAAAGACAAACAAGAAAAAGTGGAGCACAAAAAAAAAATGAAGGAAGAAATTTTTTTTTTAAGAAAGGGAGAGAGGGCCTCAAAAGGAGAGAGAGAGAATATATATATATATATATATAATAAACGAGAGAAAGTATTGGAGTAATAGATGGATAGATACATATATATAGATAGATACGTAGTATATTATATATATATTTTTGTTAAAGGCCCATTAAAGAAAATTTTATAACGGGGCCACTAAGTATAAACTTACCTTAGTTACTTACATACTATTTTTTTTTTTTTTTTTTTTTTTGAAGAATATAATAAATAAAATAAAAAATTTGGGGGGGGAGGGGGCCATGGCCACCCCCAGCCCCCCTCTCCCTCCGCCCACATTATGCTATAAAAAAATAATAAATAAATAAATAAAAAGAAGACATCAATCCATGCTTTCAAATACAACATAAGTGTCTTCACTTAATGCATTAAAGGACCGTAATGTATTGGGACTTTGTTAGGAATATGCTTTAAAATGAGACCATTTAATTAGGTATGCATGTTACATGTTTAATTAACTTTGTATTTCGGCTAATAGCACACATCATTTTGTTTCGAGTAAAAGAACACAAATATACCTTGGTGAGCCTTCTCCAAACTTTCTACATAAACCAGATGCATTAGGTTGGATATCTCCAAACTTTCTCTGAATTAACTTCAATCCTATAGCAATTTAGTTGCAACCCTTTTGATTTCATGAACCATACAAATAATCTCAATTACAGAAATAGTTTTATAAATAGGCTTTTTATTGGCACATATTATAGCCCTTCTTCTTCTTCTTCTTCTTCTTCCTCCGAGCATTCTGGTCTTATAACTCGATTTCTTATAAAGTACCCATACTCGAAATTTTGTACAGGACGGGAAAAATAGAAGTGCTAATATCATACAAGTCAATTTCATCAAGCACACAACCTATGAGGCTCTATCATGATGTACCAAATTCCAAAATTTCGAATTTCCAACAGTACTGCTTGGAAACAGTTGTGTTACTTGTAGATGCTCATTGATATTTAAATTATCCAAATAAAGCAAGAACAACACATTAATACAGCATTATAACAAAGCCAAATAACCATCAACGAGTTCTTATTAAATATAGAATCAGCAGCATTGCTGAATTGACCGTCAACCAAACTGCTTATCCTAGTCCGCGTCCCTAACTAGCTGATTGAACAGAGTACTTACCATTCCTTCTTCCTGGCATCCTTGCGTTGTCCCCTTTTTCGAATTCAAGACAGGATTGTAGACGCCACGCATCAATGACTACTTCTGGCAATTTGTATGCCAAACTCCAGATAATAGAATGGGTCCAGAAGGGAGTGCAGCGAGGTTCGTGGCCTATCCAGCGCACAGCTGCCTGTGCATAACCATTTGCTGATGGAACAAAAAATGAAGATCTCCTGATTGATGTCATCTTTGTAGCCACATATAACGGCACCTGCACCCAGCAACCCATTTAATTTAAAATGGACATTCCAACTTGCACAGCTTTCCTACTAGACATTTCTAAATGCTATTTAGAAATACAGGATTGGCATATACTGTAATAATTCAAAGATCAGAATTATATGGTACGAGAATTTATAATTCAATGGAAAGGGCCACCGGTTAGTTTTTGGGTATTTCTTGTTCGGCTATTATGTAAAATTGTAGTCTCTATTTTCTTCGGGTAGGCAAATGTGAAACCGTAGACGCTTAAGTGGGAATAAAGATCAGCAACAAGGACAGGGTGTTTCATAGTGTATCAGTTAGTTAAGCAAATGAAGCTGATGAGTAAAGCTCAAACCTGATCAAGCCTCGCCCCAACAATTTGGGACTGGTTACATGAATTGCACTACTTTATTTCATACCAGATCATTTGCTAAATCATAATTTAGCAGGATTTTTCACTATTTTAACTTTTGCAGTATCATTTTGGGCCTTTTGGGCATCCTTTGTACTTATAGAACCTTCGATTTTGACCGGTGCTGCCAATGGTTGTCCTTGGTAAACCACTAAGCCATCTCAACCAACTCTTTCTCATCTTGTCACCCACTGAAGCTATCTCAAAATTCATGTTTATGTATTCATTTTTGTATGCATGAATGACACAATTTGAAAATCCATTAATTTATCCTTATAATTAAGGCATTAATTAACATACAAGAAGGCACAAAATATCTGAATTATATGCAGAATACCTGACACTGCACATCGATCCCACTCTTCTTGTATTCAACATAGAGGCTTTTAGAGAATTGATCAATATACCTGAAAGAAAACAAAACACTTATCAGCTCTAACAAGAAATCTATAGTCGGAGCATCGAACAGGCGTCTTATAACTAGATTGGAATTGGAGAAAAATTAGTCGAAACTTTGAACTAAATCTTTTTCAATTCCAATTTCAAGTGCTCCCAAACATACCAATTCTGAATTCTTACGCTTTTGTGCCCGCATAAACTGCGTAAAGAGGATCAGACGGAATGATTATGGCGCCACCAGAACCAATGTTGATGATTGCACCTTTATTTCTCTTGAGCATTCCAGGCAACACAGCTTGTGTAACCTTTGTAGTGCCTTCAACATTCACTTGTATCAAATTCTTCAGCAATTCATCATCAACTTGGTGAAAGAACTTGGGATAAGGGTATGAAACCCCTACATTGTTGATCAGAATTCCAACATCCAATCCGTCAATCGCTTCACAGATCTTCTTAATACCCTGGCCTAAATCACCACTGAAATCAACAACAACGTTCTTGATCTGGGTCTCTCTGTGTTTAAATTGAATCTCAGTTGAAACATCGTGTAGCTTGTTAGGGTTCCGACCCACCAAGATCAGATGAAGCCCTTGTCGGGCCAATTCGACGGCGAAAGCCTTTCCAATACCGTCAGTGGATCCAGTGACAAGCGCCCAAGAGCCGTAATTCTTTAGATTCTTTGAAGGTCTAAGAAAATAGACGTAGACCCATTTGAGAAAAGCCATGGGAAATTTCAGAAAGGATACACAACCCAATACCAAGATCAAAACAACCCATAATGGTTGAGTTTCGAAAGTGTTCAAGTAGCAGAGCAACATTGTTTGCAGAGTGGGTTAATTTCTTCCGAAATGGGTCGAAAGAGTTGGATTTGAGAAAGAAGCAATTGTACCAAAGAAGAGGGTAGGCAATGAAGGTTCATGAAGCTGTTGAAATGCCTGTAGGATTGGGCAGTTAGGTGATTGGTGTGACCTTCTGAAGGTTCAATGCTCAAAAAGCATATGGACATGGAGGGAACGAGGACTCACATTTAGGTGGGTCCCAATTTGGACCGCAATGCACCTTCGGGCCAAATTCATGTAAGTGCCAATCTTGCCATGTTTAAGTCTGATCAAATCCGATAAATAAAATAAATAAATAAATAAAAAGAAAATTAAATCACCCCCAAAAATAAATAAATATGTTATGTTAATTTACTTTTACAAAACGAAGGCATGTCAATGTATAGATGAGAGTGGATAACAGTAGGGTGATTTTGTTACTTTTCCAACACTTTCTCATCACTTGTTGGAAGGTTTGGGAAGGTTTACTGTTCAAATTATGAGAAAGAGTGAACAACTCTTTAACCTTGTTGGAATAGATGAGATTGAATAAAGTAGGGTGATTTTCTAATTATTTTTTTTGAAAAATATAAATGATTTAAAATATATTATGAATTAATTAAAAAATAACATGAATTTAAGAAAATAAAAATAACAGTAACTTTAAATTTCATGTTCTTGATTTATTTATAATTATATGAATAAAATGGCAAAATATTATATTATTTATATATAAATAATATATTATACTATTATTTTTTAACGTATCCATATCATACTCGTATACATTTTCGTATCGTAACTGTTTCCTAGCCAAACTCACATGCACTAAGAATATTCTTGAAGGAATTATTTTTATTTTTTTTTGAAAAAATATATTAAAATTTTACAAAAATAATTCATTTATTAATTTTTGATAAATTATTTTATACGTCTCACCCGACGGCTTAGAACTTTGCCAAATACAGAAAAGTACAAATAAAAAAACATTTTACCCAAAAAATAAAAATATTTTTTGAAAAAAATTATTTTACCAGCCTTAAACATAAAGTAAAGTTGGTAAATTGGTGTTGGCGCAATAATTGACATATTCGTACTCAGGTTCTCACCCTTAATAGTTCAAACTTTTAACATCACAACAAAAAATGATGTTAATCTTTTTACTGTAAGCAGCTAACTGGGAAAGGCATGGAACACTGTTACATGCTTAATATACACACAATTTTCTATTAAGCACAATGTCAGCACTATGAAATTAGATCAATTCACCAACACAACAACTAATTCTTCCCAGTATGATTGATTAATGGCATTAAACCATCACCTGAATTAAAACAAGTGGTCAAATATGGCTACCATTTCAACAACTCTGAATAGGAGAGAGACCAATTTAGATGTCCTCTATGAACTATTTTAACTATAAACATACATTATATATAGGTCTAAACAGCAATTCAGAAAAATAAAGTAGTAAAATGAAGCACTATTAGGACTTCTTACCCTCATAAAAAGGAATTTAGTACTAAACATAGAAAAAGATGGCTTCATTTGAACCTAAGAAATACAACAATCATACAAATGTGAGTTTGGAGAACACCAAGTCATTGTTTCTTCTGCTGCTTCACCTTAGTGTTCATGGAATCCTTTTGCAGCCCTCTCTTTCGCATCCCGAGAAAGTAACGAAAGAGACACCAGTCCAATAATGCATCTGGCAGTGCCTGCATCAAGCTCCACTGCAAAGAATGTGGCCAGTATGGCATACAAAGATGCTGATCGCTACCAATTACGTGTAAGCTTGCTTTACTGTATGTCTCCGGTGATGGAATGAAGAAGGAAGATCTTTTAATGGACGCCATCTTTGTTGCTACAAGTAATGGGATCTGAAGCAAAAATTATGTCGATCAGTTTAACACAGTTTGGCGAAATCTGCTAGCATATGCAGATGCAATATTCGCCTGCTCCATCAAGAGTAGGGTTATTTTCCAAGTTGATTTGGTTTATTTACTGTCTTCAGTGACAACATTAACAATCTCAATGTGACATCCTATAATAGGAACCAAGAACAAGCACCAAGTTGCACATCGTTCTCTACAAAATGTCTTCCCAGTTAAAACATTAATATAACTGTCCAACCTCATCCGTTGAATGAGTTGGGTCTTACTGTGGGAGGCACATGAGGTCCTATCATTTGAGATTCAATGTTGGACAACTGCAACTGTGCCAAATCATTTTTCTGAAGTAAAATGTTAGTATATATGTCATGTTATTTTGCAAGGTACATACTTAGTTTGCATTTTTGTTGTTAGTGTCACTCCATCTACACACTTGATGGACAAAAATTTATAATGAAACAAACATATAATGGTGTACTGACACAAGGTTGTGGTCATATGTACTGCAAATGCACATTCATGGTAAATAATGACCGTTATGTCTCTCATTAAAATTAATGTAGCACCCTAAAATCAATCGTGCATGTATTTGTCCCTGTCAATGTGGATTTTGGTAGAAGAATATCGAACCTGGCACTGTATATCAATTCCATGTTTCTTGTACTCCAAGCTGATGCATTTTGAGAACATTGCAACATACCTGTGATAGGAGGTAGAAATATTAATTTCACAGCCTGTGATAACTTCCATACCTAGGCCTCAAGCAAAAGTGTTCCAACTTCCAACTAATATAACAATAACAAATTAAGTGCAAATCAATCAATGGGAAATTAAGACCAAGGGCCGTAGTCTAGTAGTTCAAGTCCGCACATGGGCATTTTTACATACAGGTGGGCTGTGGTTAAGGCCATTGGCAAACCAACTCATCTTGAGTCAGATTCACCTAAAAATATTAAGCCCCCAACTGTAAAGAATTGAATTGATAGGCATTACCTCCCCCTTCGTGTTTTTACACAGCCGGTCTATGTTTAGTAGCTTGGCAGCCAACTTAAAACTTTGTCATGAACAATATGAACATGAATTCTATGAATATATGAGTAAGTTGACCGAGACTGTCGCCTTAAATAAAGCGGAATGAAAAGATAAGATAAAGCATGTAATGCGATGTAAGATTGAGAGAAACTAACGCTTTGGTGGCGGCGTACACGGTGTAAAGAGGGTAGGACGATACAGCAACAGAGGAACCAGAACCAATGTTGACAATTGCACCTCTTTTCTTCTTGAGCATACATGGAAGCACAGCTCTGGTGACCCAAGTGGTCCCTTCTATGTTCACCCTTATAACACTCTCAATCATCTCCAAATCAACTTCATGAAAAAACCTTGCATAAGGGTATGCCAAACCCACATTATTAATCAATATTCCCAAATCTAACCCTTCTATACCTTCTTGTATACTCCTAGCTACCTCCTCACCCCTCAATTTAGCAAAATCTATGACTATGGTTTTGATTGAAATTTGGGTACCATATTTTTCTATTATCTCATTGGATGTGGTTTCGAGTTTGGAGGGGTTTCGACCTACCAAGACCAAATTGAGACCCTTTGAAGCTAACTCGAAAGAGACGGATTTGCCAATTCCATCAGTAGAGCCAGTGACCAGAGCCCAAGATCCATATTGCTTGAGATTCTTTGGTGGTCTCAAGAAAATGACCCATACCCAAATGAAAATGTTGACGATTGATTTGCAGAGAGAGATTAAACCCAGTGTAGCTGTTGCTAACAGGATGAGATAGTGGAACTCCATTGTCACGTACTAAAAAAAAGGCTCTCTGTGTCGTTTATTTGTGTATTTTAAAGGAAAAGTTTTTCTGTGTTGATGTTGAAGCTGGCATGTTGTAGCATTAAAAGCATTGCTGGATTTTTTTGGTAGCGCCACACGGTTGGATTACTCCCTTTGTCTGTTTCATATTCAAAGACATAATGAAGTTATTTAATTAGGTTAATGTGGTGGTTGTGGAACGACATGGTAAACATACAGATGGTCAAATTTGTCATTTTGTCTGCTTAAATTTTTTTTTTTTCAAATTGGAATATATTGGTCCTTCAGGGTAAGCATGCACATTAATTAAATATTGATTAATAATGTGGGCATTTTTTTTTTTCAATAGAGCCAAAAAAATTATGTTTAATAAGAGAAATGATTTCCTCTTTGACTAAATCTATAGGTTCACTTACTAACGTAGTATATTTTAGGTTCATTTCTATTAATTGATTGATTTGATCGATATACACTTATATTCGACTGGATCTGATATACCGCGATCATAAATTACAACTTGAAAATACAGAATTTACATCATAAAAAAACACCCAATTAAAATCTCAATAGCCATCTAATACACTTCACTTCTTTCAAGTTTCATGCATTGGTTTATAGTGGTTTTTAAATTCCAAACTTTGCCGTCCTCTTCTTCTTCGGATTTTCTTCTCCTTCATTTAAAAATAAGATTATTTAATTAGGATTAATGTGCCTGTTGTAGTCAAATTTGTCATTTTGTCTGCTTAAAAAATATTATTTCAATTTGAAATATATTGGTCCTTCAGGTAAGCGTGCACATTAATTAAATATTGATTAATAATGTGGGTTTTTTTTTTCAATAGAGGCAGAAGATTTATGTTTCATAAGAGAAATGATTTTCTTTAAATTATATATATATATACACATGTGATGTGAAGTTCTGTGTTACCAAGCTGCATGTATATATATATATATGCAGCTTTCATTTATTTTTATTTTTATACGATACGGGAACCATGAGCTGCATGGTTCTTTCAACAAACACAACCCTTCACTTCTTTCAAGTTTATAGAGGTTTTTAAATTCCAAAAATTGCCTTCCTCTTCTTCATTTAAAATAAATAAATAAATAAACGAATACTGTGTGGGCGATCCCCACATGCAGCTGCTTAGGTTCGGTGGACAAATTACCTGATAAAGTATCAGATACAGTATTTGCCAAGCTCATTATTTCTGTTGGGAACAAAATGATACAAATATATTGAACGTTCTACATTAACATGAAGCCTTCCATTCTCTGAAACCCTAAAATGCGATTTCAGAGATACAAAATAGGGTTTAATGACATGAACATAAAGATAGCAGATACATTCAGAAAATGAAAAGAAAAGAATGGATAAGATGACTTTATCTATGATACAATTGCAAACAAAAAATGAAGTTGGTGTGGTTTAGAGAGAATGAACAAAAGGCTCGTTACAAAATGGTGCCCAGTAGCCACATATGCAAGAGGAGCCAATAGGCAATAAGGCCTAGCCTTGCGACCGGACGACTCATCAGAGCTCGACCACCAGAAACCCTGAACAGATTCAGAAAAAAGAAGTGTCAAATCAGTACATGTACCCTAGTCCACCGATCTTAACTCATTCAACTTGTAAATATTCATTAAATTAAGGTCTTAATGTGGAAAAGAAATTCAATATACCATTTAAGTCAATAATTGCAAGTGGAAACCAATTAAAAGAATTCCTCTTAGGCTTTCTAATTTTAAAATTTATCAGTTCCAATCTTCCCAGAATATGTTTCCTGGGAGTTTTTTCAAAAGAAGCTAAAATGCAGGAGCAGAGTTAAAATAACCGGTTAAAGCAGTATTCTATAGCTCTTTACCAGATTCCATCAATTCGATCTGCAACCATCTTCCCTTGTCTTGGAATTAGACCCGATGTATTAAGAGATTTGAATACATGACCTGCAAGATGAGAGTTAATTATCAGTTGAAATGAACCTTACTGTGCAGGAAATCAGCAGTCCTCAGAAACCATACCTTTATCTTCATCAGTTTCCTCACTGTTGATCAAGCGGTCAGATTCTGAATCGATATTAAGTGCAAGGTGGTCACTAGATCCCTTTCGCAAAGTCCGTACATGGGCGGCAGACGCGGCAGGGGAAATTGCTTTTTTTCCAATCGGTCCCTGCAAAAGCATTAGAATGGAACAACTTTATGCATGCACCCTTTATCTTTTGCATTGTAAAGGAAAATTGGGTTCCGCTCCCCTTGAGCGCTTTTATATGATTCTACTTTTTCAAAAAAAAAAAAAGGAAAATTGTGAATCAGTTGAGTGCAAATTTTGGAATGCAAGATATACAGAAATATGCAAGAACGATGTATTCAAAATCGTCATGATAATGCACATAGCACGACTCCTAAACTGATAAAACAAATGGGTGTGTGAGTTTTTTGCCAAGGAAAAAAAAAGAAAAACTCAGTTTCAAAACTTCGGCCATAAACATGGGAACGAGTAATAGATATCACATCAACGAAGGCAATGAAATGGAGAAAAAAGAAAAGAAGAAGAAGATTACTTACCACATCTTCAATTTCAGATATCTCCGACCGAGGAGGCAACGAAGGTGCTTCGAAGATGCTTCTTTCCTGGAGAGTCTCTGGTGAAACAAACCTACCTTGACTAGAGTCTTCAAGTAATTTAACCTTGGTCGAAAGGTCATCTACCACCTTTTGGTTCCCGAGCAACTTCGCACCAAGTTCCTGAGCTTTGGATTTTGAATTTTCAGATTCCAGAACAATGGCCGTAACCAACTTTTCTAATACTGGCAAGAGTTCTCTCGCACCAGCAGATTTCTGGTCTACAACTAACTCATTACCTCCCAACTTCTGAATAATATTCTCCAAACCTAATGCCAGTTCAAACAACTCACTTTTCATCATCTTGTAGTCTTCATCATTTTTATTCTGTTCTTCGCATTTCTCCTTCAAATGTTCAATTTCAAGAATCTGCTTTGCAAGGTCTGACTGCAGCTCTTCTTTATCATGAGATAATACGTTCACCTTCTTATGCAATGGAGCAATAGTATCAATTATGTAAAAGAGTTTTTTTACATTGGCAGAATCACAGGGCTCAGGGTCGCTTCTGAATTCTGCAAAAGGGATTTCAATCCCACTTATCTTATCAAAGAGAGATTTCACTTGGGATGCTGATAGAACAGGACCTTCAGCTTCTGAAATAACAAGTATGAACAAAAAAATTAGCATATGGCTAAGAGTAAATAATAACTGATCTTATCACGCTCAACATTGGAAAAGTTACCTTGTTCTTTCATCAATGAAGAATTGTATAATGATGAAAGTTCTGCTTCTCTTTCCTTCAACTTATCCTCTATTGCCTCATAGCTTTCAAGCTTGAGTCTCATCTCACTGCATGAGTTTTGTAATGCTTCTACATCATTCTCCAACTCGGAAACCCGATTTTGAATTACAGCCCTTTCATCTATGGCATTTTCCAAAGTTTTTCTGGTCTCTTTCAAATTATTCTGTAAGTCTTCAGTTGCATTGGCCGATACATTCCTTGTGTTCTCAAACTGTTTAATAATAGCTCGAACTTTTGTAGCACTGAATAACAGCTTCTCTGCAGTCTGGACATACTTGCTTCTGTTAGGACTCTGCTGATGCTCTGCTACTGCATCTCCAACAACTTTTCTCACTTCTGTGATCGAACACTGATTCAACTTTTCCAGCTCGGAGGCAGAGCTAAGCTCCAGTGGGTGGTTCTGAGTTTCATTCTCCAGATCTTGAGTGGCATTGGAACAAGCAGATAGTAAAATGGTAATATCATTTTCCAGCATGGCTATTGTATTCTCCTGTTCGTGTCTATCCAATTCCATATTTTTCACTTTTTCGTTCAAAGATTTCATGTGCTTGAACGTATTTATTACTTTATCTCTTGTTGCCTGTAATTTTGTCAAAAGAGCTACAATAAGTTCATCCAAGGTAGTAGAGAAACCTTCAACTTTATCAGCAAGAATCCTATTTCTCAAATGAAACCCATCCACTGCCTTCCTAAAATATGATGGGATGTCATCACCATCTGCTGCATCCACTACGCCATTGTCCATTTCAAATTTCCCAATATCATCAAGGCCAGCTGAGATGAGCTTTGACACAAAGGAATCTTCCTAGAGAGATGCACAGACAGATAGAGAGAGGAGGAGGGAAGGGAGGGGGGGTGTAAAGAGCTGATCAGTTAAAAAATACGATAATATTTAAAACCTGAAAAGCATAGACAATAATAGGGCAGATTTGACATAATATGGAATACCAATAGTATCATTTTCTTAATGGTTAGCAAGAAAATGGAAAAAACGATGTAGATACAAAAAAGATTTGTTATATATGTTTGTGCTTGTGATATGTCACACAACTGATATATGTGTGCTTGTGTCATGGAATAAAGTCATTCTTTATTAATCTATCATAAGGAAAATGGGGGGTTATGTTGCATGGATGTTTGACCGGGTCCAAGTTTGACACAATTGCCATTAATATGTCTCACTGGTCCAAGTGTGATAACCCTTGTTATATTTTTTCTTACAATTATAGTTTAATGCTGCACTAAAAATGCTGCATTTCAATGTTCAAGGCATCCCATGCTCGAGTCCAAGAGTATCGGAAGTATAAGATATGCTTTCACAATTAAAACATTATTTAATACATATAAAATTTCTGCACACATATCTAACAGTGTGTGAGGTGACCAGGTCCGTGAGGAGCATGCGTATCAAATATGGACTTGACTACTCTCTAAATTAGCTACTTAGATCTGTCTTTTTGACACAAAACATGTTCCAGAAAATATTCACCTTTTTTGCTGCCGCTTGTAAAATATTTACCTTTTTTTTTTAATAGAATGAAAGTAATAGCTCAACTCAACAAAGCCTTTTCCCCAACTACTTGGGATTGGCTGCATGAATCCTATTTTTTCATTTTTGCCAAAATAATTTTTATAATATACCAAGCCTAAAACTGACTTACGGGGTTTTTTCCCATGTCATTTTCCAAATATACAATTGGAACTCACATGCACCTACATAGATTATATACGAGTACATAGAAGTGCATGCATGTAGACACTTGCATACATATTTTCATATGTCCTTCCTTGTACACATGCCTATATAGCAACTTACAGATATGCTAATATATTATGCCTATATTCTCCTTCATACACATTGTTTAGATAAGTGTCTATCATACATTTCTAATTGCTAAGTAATTTTCAATGTTTCAACAAAACACTGAAAATTAATAAATAATTTCACATAAATATTTTCGAGAGAAAAATATTTTACGCCAAAAAAATTGGAGCATCGGTTCAGAATTGAAATCAATTTTCTTACTATATAGTGTGTACATATATATATATATGTATGTATCATACATAAAGCACACATCCACAAGAAATGCGAAAGGTGAGAAGGTGAGGGATTTGTAACAAATAAGGACAATTAAAAAGTTGAAACCAGTAGTGGTTAATAGAAATAAACGCTTGATAAATATTTTCCAATTGCAAAATGTGCTCCAAATTTAAGAGCCACCATTCATGATCCAATCAGAAACAAGCCTATAATGCTGCCAACAAAACTCGTGAAGATCTTGGGCTACTTATGGAACGATTCGTCGAATATGCTTGTCATTCAAAAAATTCCCCAGCAAAAGAAGAAAAACAAGACATCAATCCTAAAAAAAAGGAGTCGGAATCTAAATTGAAAGACATGCTTATCAGAATCTAAATGCAAATACATGCATATCACATGAAATTTCCTGGAAAAACAGTTACATGACCATGCATTCGACAGAATAGTTTAAACGATACCTCATGATTTGGCAGCACTTCCAAACCCATCTCAACAAAATGATCCTTTAAGTCTTTAAGAAGGAGGTCCATATTTTTCAGGCTTGCAGAAGTTCTTTCAAAGCTTTGTCTCAGTAAGATCAACAGGGTATCATCTTTTAAGAACAATTGAAGGCTGTTAACATGACCAGAGAGCTCCAGAGACCTACTCTCTACACTGCCACGGGTTCCAGTCAACTCTTCAATACATGCATCTAATCTGGACTCTAGTGTTGATATTTCCTGCTCAGCATTTTTCTTTTCACGAACAAGTTCAGAAATATTAATCTCTGCCTTCAACAGTGCATCTTCCAGTGACTTATTAGTTGAGTAGGCATCTGCAAGCTTGCTGGCCTGGGAATCAGCTTCTTCTCTCAGCTTCTTTATTTCAATCTCCAAAATATTTCTACCAACTTGTACATTATTATTTTCTTCAGCAAGCAAAGAAACATTTGTCTCCACCTGAGACAGTGCATCTTCAAGTGATTTTATAGTTCTGTAGGCCTCCGCAAGTTTGCTAGTTTTAAAAGAAACTTCCTCCTTCACTTTCTCTAGCTCCTTTTCTGAACCAGCTCTACTAATTTGCGCATCTTCTTTCTCATTGATAAGCACAGAGATGTTATTTTCTGCAAGCGATAATGCATCTTCAAGTGACTGTCTAGTTGCAGAAACAGCAGCAAACTTGGCAGCTTGGGAAGAAGCTTCCTCCATTGCTTTCTGCAACTCCTGTTGTGCAGCTTCGAGTGATTTTATAGTTCCATAGGCCTCCGCAAGTTCACTAGTTTTAAATGAAACTTCCTCCTTCATTTTCTCTAGCTCCTTTTCTGAAGCAGCTCTACTAATCTGCGCTTCTTCTTTCTCATTGATAAGCACTGAGATGTTATTTTCTGCAAGCGATAATGCATCTTCAAGTGACTTTCTAGTTGCAGAAACATCAGCAAACTTGACAGCTTGAGAAGAAGCTTCCTCCATTGTTTTCTGCAACTCCTGTTGTGCAGATGCCTTTCCTGCTTCTAGTTCCTTCTTTTCAATAGCAAGCTGAGAAATATTATTTTCTGCAACCGACAATGCATCTTCCAGTGATTTCATAGTTGTGTAGGCTCCAGTTAATTTGTCGGCCAGAGAATTAGTTTCCAGTTCTATTTTCCCCAACTCCTGCTCTGCACGTGTCTTTGCAACCTCACATTCAATCAGATACTGTGCAATCCATTGCACCTTCTCTACAGGCTCTTCAAAAATTGAATCAACAGGGAGAACAATACCCTCAATGGACTCAATCACTCTCTGCAACATGTTATTGCTCTCCACTAGGAACTGCTCAAGTTGATCCCTTTGCTCTTTCATAGCAACAATATCAGATTCCAACCTTGGTATGCATTCAACATCAGAAGACAATTTATCAAGCTGATCCCGGCAATCACCAAATGCAGATCCTTGCTGCTGTAACTCAAGCTTTAACTTCTCAATTTCAGCATTCTTGCCATCCAGAAGTTGTTTCATGTTTTCCCTCTCTTGAACCAATCCCTTGCCTTTCTTAACAGCCAGAGATAATTTGTCTCTCAGTAGAGCAGATTTATCCTCAGCTCGCACAAAATCTTTCTGCAGAGAGTCTTTCTCAACTTTTAGTGCTTGAAGCTCTTCAGACACCACTCTTAACTCATTCGATAGATTGTTGACCTCTGATCTATCCATCATTTCTTCTAATATTAACTCATATAGTATCAAATCCTGATCCCTTACATACAAGAGAGATTGAATTCTTTCAAATATTTCTGCCTCAACAGAAGATGATGATTCAACAGAGACATGGCTTTGTTCTTTTACCTTCGCTAAGCATCTGTCTATAAGAATGGCCATGTCAGAGGGAGGCTGATAGACCTCGTCTTGACTGTCCATTGTAATTCCAGATGCCTCCAGCAACATATTAACCATATGGTCCTTCTCCAGTGAAACTTTACGCCCCTTTTCAATAATTTCTTCATACTTGTGCTTTAGACCTTCCAACTCCTCTTGTAGGTAACACTTTTCCTGAATTTCTGCCAAAAGCGAAGTGGTTAAGCGGTCAACATCCTCATGTGCAGCTTCAATTGTTACAGTAAATTCATCTTGCAACTTATTAGCTTCAACTTGGGTCCGGGAAAATGATTCCACAAGCCAAACAATTCTAGATTCCAGGTTGGAAGATGAAACATTTTCCTGTGAATCAATCAAAGATAACACATCCTTCAGTTTGTTGAATTCCACAGAGACACCCTTCAGTACATTACTCTCATCCACAAGCCATCTAATTCTCTCTATAATATTTACTGACTGAAGCTCCTCGGGGACACCAATCTCAGACAATATTTCTTCACATTTCTCAATAACAGCATCCCTTTGTGAGAGTGTTTCCTGCAATGAAGTGGCCAAATTTTCACTATTGACCATACTTAGTTCAGCAGCCTGTAGGGCACTTGACTTCTCATGCAATTCGATCAAACATTTCTCAACTTCACTTGTTTTCTCAGTAAGAGAATACTTCAAAGCGTCACGCTGCTGAACCAATGCCTTCCCTTTTGTCACAGCCATGCTGAGCTTTTCTTTGGTGTTGGCACACCTTGTCTTCTCCTGTTCAAGTTCCACTTTGAGTTTTCCAATTTCTGCATTTGCCATTTCTTTGTATTTGTCAATTTGTTTCACTAGTTTCATATTTTCAGCCTCTAAATGGCTTATTTTCTGTGCCAAGTCTACTTCTTTTCGTTTAAACCCAAGCAACTCATCACGTGCAGCAACAAAAATTAACTGAAATTCGTCTTGCAGACTAAGATCTGACCTTTCCTGAGTCAAACATTGCCTAAGTAGTTCAATTTCAGAAAGGAACAGATTATACTTCTCAATTAAGAGGGAGGAGCTTTTCTCAACATGAGATATTTTTGCTATAACAGATCCATCCAACAATTCTTCTTGATGAACAGCTGTGGCAAGAGAAGCTAACAACCTGCTTGCAATAGCCTCAATATACTGGTCCTCCCCATGCTGAGCTTTGGAAAATTCTGAAAGTTCAGAAATCTTTGCATGAAGATATCCAATTTCTTCATCCTTCGAAAAGAGATTTGATTGGAGTTCTCTGAAAGTGGCCTCAGTCTGTAACCGTTCTTTCACGAATGCCTCTCTTTCTTCCTGCAAGTGACAATTGATGAGCAAGATACACAGTGGGGAAAATTTATTCACAGAATAGAAAATACTAACAAAGATAGACACTCGACCTCATGCTCCCTTGATAAGCTCTCTTTCTCAGAGACAGTTTTCTCAAGCGTAGCCCGCAAGTGCTCCAGCTCTTCCATCAAGTCATCAACTTGGCCTCGACTGTCCGATTCAAGAAAATGAGTCTCCTGCTTATCATCCTTTTCTTCCATCCTCGGTTGGGTTTCAGGAATTACCGCTGGTTCCCTATTATCAGAATTTCTCCCATCATATCCAACTAACTCATCAGGGCAATCCACAAACATGTCGTCTCTAATTCCATCCTCTGGTATCGAATCAGCCCTAGTCACCAAAACCCCATCACGCTGGTTGACATGCTCCACCTGCAGAGAGCTGGGCTCCTGCAGTTGGCATTACTTAGAAACATGATATATGTATAGTGGCAAAATCAGAATTAAGGAACTATTCAGTATCCAGATAACATGGAGCTTGAGATTTTTCCAGGGAACAATATTAACGAAATAAAAATTGTATAAAATACAAAATGAAACATAAGTAAGAAACAAAATAAACATAATTGAAGTGGAAAAAAAAATAGATGAATCCACATTCTGCAACTATATGGAATATTGGTACTGCTTCACAAATGGCTTAGCAATTTTTCAAAAAACCCGTTATTCAATAAGATCTACTAGATAAATTTGGCTACTCGCAAGTTCAGTTACTATTGATATGACAATTGCTCATTATTTTAAAAATCAAATTGAGTTATTGTTCGTTGCATACCTGAATAACTGAATCAGGCATGTCAGCTACATCAGCTGGAACTGTAAAAACTGAAACTTCTTCCTCATTGGAACTTCCAGCTGCACCGAGTGGTCGGGAGGGATCGACGGAGGAATCCACATAGACAAACCCATTCGAAAACCCTTCACCTTCATTTTCCTGAGCTCCAGAACCTCCTAAGACCTGCTCTTGATTATGATTATCCGACATTCCAATCCAGAATTATTTGCCAACTGCGAAATGCAGCTGCAATCCCTTATTCAACAATATACAGATCTGAAAAAACAAAAAAGAGTTCAATTCACACCCACTCTAAAATCACAAACTCGTTCAAATTTGTCCAACCGCATTTCAATCAGTTTAGTACAGCATCATAATTTTTCTATGAATAAAATCTAATTCAATACAGCATCGCTGTGTGTGAGTGCACATATATGTATATGTGTGTGTGTATATATATATATATCAAAAAGGAAAAAATAAATGATAAACCGAAAACAAAGAAAAAGAAACCCTAGAATCGACTTGGAATGACGGGGAGACATAGATGTCACTAAAAATCGTACCTGAATGTGAAATATTGTTGTGTGTTTGAGACTATATACAGTGTTGATCGTCCTTCGAATTGGCATAAGCTTCGATTTGTCGGGTTGAAGAAGACGACCTTTTACAAGATGGATCTACAATTGCAGTACGGAATGCCCCCAATGTTTTAACGTCATGACTTATGCATGAGTCCAGTACAGAATGCGAACGATGTCGTTGCATCAATGAACGATGTTGTAGTCCTCACGTGATTGCTTGACGTGTCGCACGTTAAAAATTATTAAATGCTCTCTGACGAAATGTAACGCCGCGACCATCACCACTATTAATTCCGATAAATGAATTCTGAAATCCACCAAAAAAAAAAATCCAAAACTACCAAAAGCAACTGTGAGAACCGTGGGAGAGGAATCGACTAATAGAGAAATAGATGCTTCTGCTCTGCCAGATCGTTATCGACACAGGGGACAACTCCAATGACCTGCAAGAGATCCGATTCCGGCCAAATAAAGAACCAACAGCGTGCTTCAGTCCGGCGAAGCTACAAGCGTCGTCGACGAAACCCAGTTCAAAATGGTCGTGGACTCACCGGAGCTCTGTACAAGAATCAGGCGGGCCAGCCCTGACCCAAGGCGACCAAGGCGGTCGACTAGGGCCTCAGAATTGATGAATTTATTGGCCCATCGATGATGGGCCAACAGAAAGAAGAAAAAAAAAAAATTTAGGGCAAATCATTTCAGCCTCCCCAATCGCCTCCATCTCTATTCTCGCTCTGAACTTGCCTTCTCTGTGTCTCTCCAACTGTAAACTACAAAATCTACAAGAATCAGAAGTTCAAAACGCATATACTTCAGTTTATCTGTCTGCAGTTCAAAACCTATTACCTATATCAAAACCCATATCGACATATTATTTCAGATTGTTCAAAAAATCAAAACCCATATCTTTCTGTTTCCGTCGACCGCTGTTCCAGTTCGGGTTCGCCGTTCGCAAGCTTCAGCCGCTGGCCCGCTGTCTCTCAACTCTCAAGCGTGTCTCTCAACTCTCAAAATTGTATGCATGGGTTTTGTTTTAATTTTTTTTTTTTTTTTTTCTAAATCAATTAATCAAGGTCTTGTAATTCTTGTTTTGCAAACTAAATCGTATTTGTTGAAAATTTTTATGATCTTTTTTATATAATTTTTTTAATTATTTTATGAATTTTAGTTATAAATATTTGTGAAGATAATGACTGAAACTGGATCTTCCTTTGCAGGTTTTGAAAGACTAATTGGTAAATTTGGGTTGAACTTGATTCTTGAACAAGCTGAAGGCCTACTGTCCTATCATCTTTTAGAGTGCTTTTATCAGTGGTAAGTCATTTCTTTAATTATTCAATATATATATTTTTTTTATCCGAATTTTTTTCCTGTTAATAATAAATTGGAAGGCCTACGGTCCTATCATCTTTTAGAGTGCTTTTATCACGTCTGATAAGTCATTTCTTCAATTATTCCATATATATATATTTTTTTATCCCAATTTTTTCCCTGCTAATAATAAATTGGAGGCATAAAGCATAAATATGTCAATTAATATGGGCACCCAATTGTATATGAACTAAAGTACAATATAAAGTAACAATTTATTAATATATAAATAACAAAATTTTCATTTTTTTGTTGACTTTGTGCTCTGAGCAACTTGGAGTAGCTCGATTTGAGTGTTAGTGTGAAAGAACTGATTACAGTAAAAGGTATTATAGTGTCATATTCATTACATTGCATTGCATTTAGAGGTAATCTATATTTTATTTCAACAAAACAAATATATATATATATATATATATATATATATATTAATTCTATAACTTCTATTTTTTCTTTTTTCTTTTTTCATTTATGTCTACAAGAAAATTTAAATCTAGGTGTAAAAAAAAAAAAAGACACAAACAGAGAGTTTAGTTGAAGATTTGGTGAATGAAGAAAATCTTAATGAACATGGAGAGGTCCTCCAGGAGATGCTAAATTTGAAAATTTTGACATGGGAATGGAATGAAATAAAGTGGAATGGAATGCTTTAATTTCATTCTTTTGTTTAGAAAGTAATTTTAAAGATGGAATTTCTATTCTCTACCTTTCTAAGAGAATGGTCATTCCATTAAGATAATTCTACTTTCTAACAAGAGAATGGACATTCCATTCCTCACTTAAAAAAAATACTGAGTAAAAATAATATTAAAAATCACTTTACTAAAATCATTCCACTTTTCAACAAGAGAAATGGGCATTCCATTCCCCACTTAAAAAACAAGTGAGTAAAAATAATATTAAAAATCACTTTACTTGAACGATGTGAACACACTTTCCTCCAACCATGCGATCCAATAAAAGTCAACTTTTTCTTGATATTTCCTCCTCAATTTTTAAATATATATGGAAAATATATATATATATATATATATATATATATATATATATATATATATATATATTTGGTTTATTATCCTTTTAAGCCATGCATAACCAAATGAGAGAATGAGAATGGTCATTTCATTATCTGGTTCATTCCATTCCTACTTTATTTCATTCCTCCATACCAAACTAGCCTTTTATGTATAAAGGGCCTCACTAGATTTTTTCAATCTCAGGACTACTCAAGTGGAGTGACTTTCTCACCCTTTTCACTCTATTTTATTTATAATGTTTTTTGAGAGCTTTTTTCAACCTCAGGGCTGGGCCGGCCCTGCGTGCTTCATCACTAGGTTGGTTTAAGGATGAAGTGTAACTTAATTAGTTAAGATTGGACGATCTGAGCAATTTTTTTACGCTTGGGCAGAAGAAAAAGAGGGGAAATAAAGAAATTAAAACAAACAAACAAAATCCTTAAGTGGAGTGACTTTCAAGAATTTCAGAAGTTATAAATGTTCGTACTCAAAAAAAAATAAAAAAATGGTTTCTGATACTTTCATCGCGGATCGCCCAACTAAGCCAACATAAATAAATCGTATCCGAATTAATTTATTAAAATAATTAAGGTGGTATGTCTATGAAATGCAGATATTTCCACGGGTGAACCAATTTTCAGTTTTGAAAACAAACTCAAAATTACAAAAAAATGTGAAGACAGACAAGGGTTAAGCTTGCAAGTACTGTTTACTAGACACAGGGAAATACTTGACAAGATATATATACATATATATGGAGATTGACATGCAACCAACCCGGCCCAGATTGTGCAATCTAGCCGGCCGGCGATCATGTATGTGTTTGGTGGCGTATATTATATTATATTATATTATATTATATTATATATATCCCATGCATGCATATATCAATATATATATATAGACATGAGATTTTGAGTAGTGTTGAACTGACCTTTGTGAGCCGATATCGTCTGCCATCTTCTTAATTGCTGCTAATTGTATGCTTCATAAAACTAGCTAGAAGAGAAAATTCGGAATCAGAAGAGACTTCTAGCACTGGTTGATTGAACAGTGCTACCTTCTCATCTTACTCAGTTGATTTATATTGCAAAAATAAAATTAATAATAATAGTTATCGATATTTTATCGACCATTCAGGGATATTGACGAAACTTCATATGGTATATCTGACTTTTGTATTCCTACTTATGAAAAAGAAAGGGTACATTTCTAGACAAGTCCCTTGTCCTGTATTTAAAAACTTCCATTATAAACTTTCAAAATTTTATTGATACTGAGATATATGGTAGTTATTACCATCAGAATTTTAAATTTTTTATTAATACTGAGATATATAGTAGTTATTACCACCAAAATTTATAAATTTTTATTACTACTGAAATATTTTAAAATCTTATATCTTGATTTATGACCATTCAAGGGATATTGAGGAAACCTCATATGGTCAAGATATCTGACTTTTGTATTCCCATTTGTGAAAAAAGAAAGGGTACATTTCTAAACAAGTCCCTTGTCCCTGCATTTAAAAACTTCCATTATAAACTTTCAAATTTTTATTAATACTGAGATATTGGTAGTTATTATCATCAAAAAATTTAAATTTTTATTAATATTGAGATATAAAATACTAAGATATAAAATTTTAAAATATCTCAGTAAAATATCTCAGTATTAATACTGAGATATAAGATTTTAAAATATCTCAATATTAATACTGAGATATCTTGAGATATAAAATACTGAGATAGCTCAGTAGTAATAAAAAATTTAAAATTTCTCCATATTTATTAATAGATATCTCATTCTAATATTGAGATATAAAATACTAAGATATAAATTTAAAATTTCTCCATATTTATTAATAGATATCTCATTCTAATATAAAATACTAAGATATAAAATTTTAAAATATCTAAGTATTTATTAATACTGAGATATCTCAGTATTTTATATCTCAGTATTAATAAAAATTTTGGTGTAATAACTACCATATATCAAAAAGATTCAAAATTAGCATAGCTGAGCATGTATGTCCTAAGTCACACAGAGCGAGAGCGTCAAAGCATCAAAGTCTAAAAATTTTGAGAGCGGGAGTAGCATCAAAGTCTAAATTTTTTGAGAGCGGGAGTGTCTTGAAAGCGTCTGTATATTAGGTTTAAATAAAATTATATCATGATATATATATTTTTATTTATTTAAATCCATATGCAAATATATTCATGATTATTTATTTTATTAACGATATATATAATAAATAAGCTAATTCTCAATACGTGATTTATTTGTAATATTCTCTAATTGGTAAGTTTTTTAATAGTATATTTTCAAACATGTATAATTAACATATATATATATATATATATATATATATATATATATATATATATATAAAGGGATAATTTCATTAAAATGGGATTTTTGGTATTAAAGGACAAAAGAATGGAGTCAAAATCAAATTTTCCAAATTAATGTAATTTTGTGAAAGTCAAACGTGGACGCAAAAAATGAGTGTACATCATTTTTTTTATTTCCAAAATAACATTTTATTGTTGTTATGAAATTATGTTACTAACCCTCTCATATCTAGACAGAGAAACTTATCTACAGCAACCCTTCTTCCCAAACGAACGACCCATTAACAAATTATAGATTGGATGGATATCCGCAATCACAAAGTTCTCTTTCAAAGATTGGATGCCAGGAGTGGCGTCCGGATGCGGGAGCTCCAGGAGTTTGCGTCCGGACATATTTTTTGCTTTTTGTGGAAGCTGTGGCTCTTTTTTTTTTTTGATAGATAATGGAAGCTATGGCTTTTATTTTTACTTTTTGGACACTGTTCACTTTTTGTCCTTTTCCCTATTTTGTCTTTCCCCCGTTTGTCACTTTGTTGACATAACCTTACAGAGTTGCATCTTAGCACTGTTTATCATACTCACACTGATGGACAGACCGAGAGGGTTAATCAGATCATGGAGGATATGCTTCATTCTTGATGACACATGATTCTAATCATTATGTGAGTGTAAAGGAACAAGGATAAAAATATAACAATTTTAAGAAAGAATTAGTTCCTTTATCTTAAACATATAAAATGTGGCTGAGTATGTTGAACGGGTTCTGAAAAGGTTCAATATGAATAATGCTAAGGCGGTCAGTACTTGCAAACTTGGTAAACATCGTCAGGCTATTTTTAAGTCTTATTTTGATAAAAGTTTACATTAAAACACCTTTTGGGACGTCAAAGGGAACTCGAATAAGTTTAACTCAAAACTCTCATTTTCTTTCACAGATTCATTCTTTATATAATAAAAAGGTCTAGCCCATGGGTAACCTTCCTATATGCGCACTAGACTTGTAAAGTGACAATCTCCGTACTAGAACCATGTCCTAGCATTGCTAAGGATTAACAATATTTAAGTTTGGGGTGTGATAAGTGTTGAAAAGTGCGCATTTAAACCCTTAATTTTGAGTATACTAGGACCTACAATCCCATCTGACATCTCTCTTTCACCCACCTAACCAGCAAACCAATTTAAAAAAAAAATAGCAAACCTTTGTTCTCTCCCTCTCACGTTCCCTCCAAAACATCTTTTCCTCCAAACCAAACTTAGGGTTTGGTTGGACTTGGCGACGTCGACGAGGGCTTGGGCACTCTAGACTTTATCAGGAAAATGGCAAAAAAAGGACGAAAAAGATAAAGAAGAAAGAGCCATTATCCATCACAAACTGAGTCCTACCCATCGGCCACGGCAGTGAGTGCAGAAGTTGTGAAAGTTGGTTTAGGAAATTAACAGATAAATCAAATTTATCTACGTGAAACCACGTTTTAGAATGAAACTGTTCGACTAATTTCGAAGAAATTAAATCTTAAAAATATGAAAAATATAGTTATTCTATATATATTGGAATTGTAGTACTAAAAAAAAGATTTGGGAATCAGGATTCCGGCTCAATTTGTTTCGACGGATAATATTTTTTCCTGAAAGAATTTATTTATTTTTAAAGTAAAATATTTTAGTACTACAATTATTTAGGATTTCAGTTTGGCCCTAACTACAGTCATCTTGAACCCCACCCAGTTCAGGCAATCCCAAATGTCCGATTGCTAACTGTAAAGTGGTACATGCAATGCAGGCGAGGGCTTGGGCGTAGCTTCCGCCAGTGCTGTCGGCCATCTTGGCTCCGTCGTGTCATTTCCCGGGGAATTTGACGATGTGTTTCGGGAGTTTGAGGAAAGAGGAGCTGCCGGAGAAGGAGAGTTTGAGAGGATTGATATAGATGTGTTTCTCTTCAATCTCTAAATATGAGAGGGGTAATAGCATAATTTCATAACAATAATAGAAGGGTATTTTGGGAATAAAAAGATGATGTACAATAATTTTTCATGTTCAGACTTTCATAAAATTTCATTAATTTGAAAAACTTGATTTTGACTTCATTCTTTTGTCCTTTGACCTCCCAAAACCCCATTTTTATGGAATTATCCCTATATATGTATATGGTAGTATAACAACGCCATAAAGTTGGGACATATTGAAATTTAAGTAATTAATGTATATATATTTTTTTGATAAATAAGTAATTACTGTATATATTGAGTAATTAATGTATATATTGAGTAATAATGTAAGTAATAAATGCATATATGGTAATATAGGTGTTCCATATCACTGGAACTCTAACAAATTTAGCTATATAAAGTAAATTCGTATGAAAATCGAAAATTAGGAAAACAAATTCACGAAATTGCAAAAATTAAATTCGCCAAATTTTGTGTGAATTAGCTCCCATCTCAAAGAGCTTAAGAGCGGGCCTCTTTGAACGAATTATATGACTTGGTTTATGTCAATGATATGAAAATCAGGACTCTTTTATCTATTACTGTTATATGTACTGATACTAAGAGCTTCAGGATAATGCTTGCTTGTAATTCTAGACTTCTATGCAGCAAAGGAAGCAAATGACTCGAAGTATAATCATTTGGGGGAAGGGAAGGAAGAGTAAACAGAGATAACCACCAAATTTCAAATCAATCCGAATTTGTTTAGACCTCCAATAAAAAAATTTTAAAATCTAAAAAAATAAGGAAGCAATAATTTTTGGGGCAAAAATAAAAAATAAAAATTAGGGGCCTTCCTATTGGTTAGAAAATTTAGATAGTCGAATATGAAGACATAATAATTTCAGGGGCCTAACTTCCGGGGAAAAAAATTAGGAACGATTACTTGGAGTCTAATAAAAAAAAAAATCTAAAAAATTAGGAATGATTTATATTGCAAAAATAAATAATAATATAAAAATTTTAAAATATCTCAATATTTATTAATACTGAGATATAAAATACTGAGATATCTAGTATTAATAAAAAATTTAATTTTTTATTTATTTATTAGTACATATATATTGATGACATTTAATATTTTGAAACAATTCTCACTCTTAATCTCTCTTTTTCTTTGGCTGTGCTAGTGAAGGACCGCAAATATTTCCCTCCAATACTGCATACCTCTTGCATTTCTAATTATAATATTGTGTATCACAATCGAGAGCATGTATCAGGGAATGAAGAAATCGCCATTTGAGACACATCATGTTGAAGCAGTGACTTTCATTGTCGTTGTCTCTCTCTATGCTTTAACATTGGTGGTTGAAATTATAATGAGAGATCGTACTACAAATTGTACAGCAATTTTCAACCACTTGAGTCTCGTATTTGGATCACTTGCCACATTCTTGCTCTGGTTAATCGTCATCCCAGTTGTCGGGTGGATTGCTTTTTTCATATGGTGCATTCTTTTAACAACGGTGGCATGAAAGATTTATCAAAAGCATTATCAGTTGCTTAAAGGACGCAACTCTCCATATCAAAAACATATTTAATAAACCAATGAATTGCAATACCTACGACCTACAATCTGAACCTCCGGTGTAGAGAAGTACGTATTTAGATAATAGGGGGACTTACCAAAATTGCCATTTCTTTGGGAAATCAGTATTATTTGTTTGATAAATTACACACTATATACATCATTAGTAAGTCAAAGATAAATTTTAAGTAGGAAAACAAAATGAGAACTTTGAAAGGAAAAAAAAAATTAGACTTTGATTGAAGAAGAAAATTTAAACTTTTTTTTTAAGGAAATCAAAGAAATTTTAAGAGCAAAAGAGAAAAGAAAGAAAGTTTCTGGAGATAATTTTAGAAATTAAAATTTTAGGAGAGCATTATATAGAAATTTTCTTATAAATATACCAATAAAATTATAAATAAAAAAAAAAAACCAAATTTTATACTTTGCAGCGCCCCCTGGACACACACTGGCTCTGTCTTGCCCTAATATGATTAGAAAAATAATACTGAAGTCCATGAGTTTGACCTAAAATATTGACCAAAGTATTCCATCCGTCCCAATTTAAGTGTGGCTTAGTAGTAATTTTTAAGGGGACATGTATTGTTTATCTGGAAAGTTACTAAATTGCCCTTTTAAGTTTTGAATATTATTTAAAACTCAAATAATATATATGGAAAGATGTGAAATATATTATTTGAAAAGGAAAATGAACAATTATTTTGGAACATGAGTTTGACCTAAAATATTGACCAAAGTACTTCATCCGTCCCAATTTAAGTGTCGCTTTTGGGAAGTAGTAATTTTTAAGGAACATGTATTGTTTATCTGGAAAGTTACTAAATTGCCCTTTTAAGTTTTGAATATTCAAATTTGAAATTTAAAACTCAAATAACATATATGGGAAGATGTGAAATATATTGTTTAAAAAAGGAAATTGAACAATTATTTTGGAACGGACAAAAAAGAAAAGTATGATACTTATTTTGGGAAGGAGGGAATATTATTTATTTTAGATATCTTTCAACTGAACTATGTTTCAAATAGACCCATATTTATTCGAAATAAATGTCACTTACTTTGAGTTGGTAACAAACCCGAACCATAAACAGATGGGTAAACTAAATCCAGCCCCATTTCGTCAAACAACATTTAATAATTTGGGTAAAGTAAAGGCAACACCCCTTCAAGCTTGCCAAAAGGACACACAGGTGAAACTTATCTATTTTTTGGACAAATACACCTCTTAAAAGTTCAAAAATGGATAAAGACACCCCTGACATGACAAATTGACCAAATTACCCTTTGATAATAAATTGGATCAATCTACCCTCATGAACAATTTATGCATAAAAAAAATAAAAAATAAAAAACAGTCTTTTCTCTGCCACCGCCACCACCCATCTTTCCCTCCACCGCCACCGCACAAAGCCACACATACATATTTATATATCTATATATATACATGTACAAATACAGAAGGATTTAAATTACACACATATACCCACAAATTTTTGTTTAGCAAAATCCAACAACTCAAAATCCAAACAATATGAAATTGGGTCTTTTGATTAGGTGCTCAATTGGATACCCCTGCAATTTCTGACAACCACCCACCCAGCTCTGTCACCCAACCGTGAATACAAATTCATCATTGAGTTATGTATAAAAATATCATCACAAAATCCAAATTCAACAACATGGGCATGAATGTTTTCACCTATAACACCATTAAGCCTCCCCACGTGGAAAGTAAGGATTTGAACAGCGGTAAAATCAACAAGTAAGGACAGTCAAAATAGAACGGTAAACACAGACTCTAAGACTGAAATTGTCGACGAGGACCAAGCTTCGATGACGATGCGGCCACGGACTGAACAGTGAGGCGAGGTTTAGAAGGTTCAGATGAGCATAGTCCGCACGAGTGTCACCTGCAAGGCCGAGGAGGCTGAAGTGGCCGTAGCCTCTGCTGTCCGAAGAGCGGCGATGACGACGGCAAACTGCTTCTCCTCCACCTTCAGTGTCATCATCATCATCCGCCTCTACATCTGCAGCCCACCTTCGATTCCATTGGCCCATAAAGCCCCAGATCCGTTTTCACTGTAAAAAACAGTAAACTTGCCACCGCCCCTCCAACGAGATCGTCTGCGCTCTCGAACACCTCCATACCGTGGGCATTGTCTACCGTGACCTCAAACCCAAGAACGACAGCTCGCCGCCGCCCATCGCCGCCTTTTGTGTGTGTGTGTGCGCGCGCATATATAAAAAAGAAAAAATGGAAGGATGAAGGAGGAGAGAAGGGTGCTGAGGGTAATTGGTCATTTAAATATTTTGATATTTTATAATTAAATTTAATAAAATAGTGAAGGGTAAAATGAACTTTTCACACGTTTTAAGACTTTGTTTGGATGACAAATTTCACAAAGGATGTGATTGTTCAAAAATAGACAAATTTTCACCTGTGTCCTTTTAGCGAACAAAGGGTGTCTCTGTACTTTATCTAATAATTTTTAACGTGCCACACGTCGCGATTGCATTAAAGAAACGTCACGTGAGGACAACAATATCATTCATTGACGCAAACGACATCGTTCGCACTCTGCACTGGACTCATGCATAAGTCATGAGTCCATGACGTTAAAACATTGGGGGAATTTTTTACTCTGTTTCGCGTACTGCAGTTGTAGATTCATCTTGTAAAAGGTCGTCTTCTTCAACCCAACAAATCGAAGCTTCTGCCAATTCAAAGAACGATCAACACTGTATATAGTCTCAAACACAAAACAATATTTCACATTCAGGTACGATTTTTAGTGTCATCTATGTCTCCCAGTCATTCCAAGTCGATTCTAGGGTTTCTTTTTATTTGTTTTAGGTTTATCATTTATTTTTTCCTTTTTGATATATATATATATATATATATATATATATATATGTGCACTCACACACAGCTATGCTGTATTGAATTAGATTTTATTCATAGAAAAATTATGATGCTGTACTAAACTGATTGGAATGCGGTTGGACAAATTTGAACGAGTTTGTGATTTTAGAGTGAGTGTGAATTGAACCCTTTTTTGTTTTTTCAGATCTGTATATTGTTGAATAAGGGATTGCAGCTGCATTTCGCAGTTAGCAAATAATTCTGGATTGGAATGTCGTATAATCATAATCAAGAGCAGGTCTTGGGAGGTTCTGGAGCTCAGGAAAATTAAGGTGAAGGGTTTTCGAATGGGTTTGTCTATGTGGATTCCTCCGTCGATACCTCCCGACCACTCT